CACATATATTCACAGCTATAGACATATTTAGGCTTTTTTTGGGCAGCTTCAGAGTTGAGAGATATTTAACTCACTGTCAGTTCAAATTGCAGGTAAGAGATAAAGAAACACATTTCATAACCTGGAAAACAGGGACATAATGATTTAGACATACCTTCCCAATATCTTAGTTAAAGTGACACTAAACTCAGGAGTTAAACTATAACAATGCATTCAAGTACCCTATTAACAAAAAATGATCTCATTTGTGTATTACTCAGCTATAGATCTTCAAATCATCTCTGAATATGTTCTGACAATGTCCTTCCTTCTGGAGGGTGGTTACTTTTGTTCCCCATGGTCCCTATGTGTGTTGCAAAGTTCCTCAGTTTCCACAGTCTCGACCGCAACCTGCCGCCGTACTTGCTAAGCTTTCTGTTTCAGCCAGCCCTTCCTTACACCTACCTGATTCCCCATGTTACTCTGGGGACCCCAACTCTTGCAGGGGTTTCATCAGCCAGTGTACCATCCATTGTGAGCTTCAACCTCAGACTTTTCCATCAGAGCAGGCCAAGGTGGCCTTGTATTTTGGTTATCCATTTTTGCCAGAGAAGGCTTTGTTTGGGCTGTCTCTTCTGACTTTTGACTTGCATCCTGACCATCCATGCCCTCAGCCAGCTCTGACCTTTGGACTGTTCCTGGTGTCCACTGACTCATGGTCAGTGGTGCTTAAACCAGAGTGAACTTGAGTATCAAGATGTGGGTTAAGCAGGCAGCTAAGTCCTGGTGAATACTGGCTGGCTCTTACACATGCCTTATGAAATCCTGTAATATCTTCTCTCACGTGGGACCATCCTCATTATACAGAGACCTCCTGATCCAACTCCCAGGTCTTCTCCATTCCAGTGAGATCCTGATACTGATTCTTCTCTGCAGGTCCAGCTCCCAGGTCTAACCTGTTTAACCTAGCTGGCGGTATTCCCGAGTCTGGCTCGGGGTTAATTTTCAGAACCAAGAGCGGTAACCCTGAGCCAGACTCGGGATTGCACAGAAAAGTGTCACTTACCTTGTCCCTGCGAGCCCGTGGTGTCCTCTGCTGTACGTGGCCGGCCGATGCTGGCATCTGAGTTTTAGTTTCGTTTTCGGGCGTCACAGCGGGGGGCGGAGCCGGCAGGAAATTCAAAAAAGTGAAAACATGACATTTACACAGAATACACACAATACAATGTAATCTTCTATAATTACACTTATGTATCAAACTATTTCACTTCAATTTTGTCCCTAGAGCTCTGTCCAGTGCCCTGCCTGCACTTTTACTGTTCTGTCTGCCTGGAAACTTGTGAACGTCCATGGCATCCAAAAAGCGTCCCTTTAGGTCAAAAGCGATTTTAGACCAGGTAGAAAAAAGCGATAGTCAATTAGAATCACTTGCAGAATTGAGACTTTCAGTGTCTGATGACGAATTTCCCAACGAATCGCTATTGCTCAATTCTGCAAGTGATTCTAATTTACTATCGCTGTTTTCTACCTGGTCTAAAACCGCTTTTGACATAGTGCTCTGCTCTACCATGAACCATCTGTCAGCCACCACTTCTTGGGTAAGCCTACTTCCTCTCATTGGCTATCCCTTACAGTGTAGCTAGTGGGTCCACACCGGTACAGTTGCCACCCTTACGCTGGTTTCAATACATTCAGAATTACTGACCTGGGACATGATAAGGGATTGTGGCTTTTCTCTGACTTTCATTTGCAGAGTTCTAACTCAGAAGTCTTAAAAGCAGACACTGCCAGGCAATTAACATATTCAGAAGATGACAGTTTACATATTTCTCTCTTGCTATGTGTACACCTATAGTTTGATTTTGATTTGTAAACAAAAATGGTAGAACATGAAGAAAATCCAAGCAGCAAACAAGAGGGAAATGCAAACTGCAAGCACATACACTGTATTGTCCTTAGTAAGACTCAGGTTTTGGAACCAGCACTGCAAGACAACTACCCCTTAGACCTCTGGTGCCCAATCTGCAGTCCTTTGGCATGATCTTTGTAGCCCTTGGAGCCTCTGCAGACAGTAGTTTGTGTTTACTTTACTTAAGCTGGCTATAGGTTCCAGCTCCTCCCTCTGGGAAGACCAGAGAGATCCTTCCTGAGTCGACAGCAGTGATTGGGCTTGTCAGCTGTCACCAGGTGCTGCGTCCTCTAAGTCTGGGGTGCGGGCCACCAGCAGAGACCACAAGAGCATGTAGCTTCTATTAAAGCTTCAATCACTGGGGGGGATATTGTGGCAGCTGACTCTGGGATACTGCAAACACAGTGGGGTGGCCGTTCCTCCAGCTACCAGAACCCCCTGATCAAAGGCCTCTGCAGCAGTGTTAGTGTGAAGCCTGCTTGATCAGCCACCTACCTCAGCTATCAACTTGTCTGCCAGTGAGAGAAGTGTATCAATCCTTACTCAGGATACTGCAAGTATTTATTTCACTAACCTAGACAAACCTATATATTGTACTGCCACCTAGTGACCAGTAGAGCAATTGTCCCAAGCATTCCCATGCTTATTATATCTGCTTTGACTGTATTAATTTTGCTCAATGCGTATATTTTGATTGTGTATCTTCCCCTGTGCAACCTATGTTTAACTTCCATTTGTTAAATAAATTCCAAAATTGCACGTTACCACTTGTCCGATCATTTGGCTGATACCATTACACAACAATAGTAGTCAGTCACATTCAACTGGACTTGTTCTGTAATGTTGAAGACATTCTGTAGCTTATTCAAGCCACTTCTTCAGTTGTGATTGGCATCAGAAAAATACCCCAGCATATATATCCACACAGGTAGTGCAGGCCCTTAATCCAATAACCATGGTAATGCAAATGTCAATTGTCTAATTGAAAGATGCGAGGCATGACAGATGTGGAACCAGGGCCGTGGCTAGGGAGAGGCGACTAAGGCACTCGCCTCGGGTGCAGGTGCAAGAGGGCGCAGCCAGGTCTCAGCGCGGCAGGGAGAAGTGGGGCGGCACAGCCTGCAACTTCTCCTCTGAATCCCTGCTGCTGTCCCCCGCCTGTATGGGCATAGGCAGCAGGGATCCAAGGAGAAATGAAGTGCTGAAGCCGGTGTAGGAGGGAGCGCTGTCACTTTAGGATGGCCAAGCGGTGAGGAGAGAGAGAGAGCTGCTCAAGCCAGGATCTGACAGCCGGCGGCTCGCTCTCTGCTCACCACACAGCCATACTGAAGTGACAGCTCTCTCCACCGCCCCCCTCTCCCCCACCGGCTTCAAGTTTCATTTCTCCTTGCCCATACAGGAGGGGGAGAGTAGCGTCAATCTGGGAAAAAGCTGCCGGCTGTGCCGCCCCTCTGTGCTGTTGCCGAGCGGCTCAGGATGGAAAGTGGAGGATCGGTAAGTATCTATTATATTTACTGATCCCCTGCATGCAGGACAAACACTGGAGCGATCAGCTGATCACTCCAGTGTTTGTAAATAACTGATGACACATAGTACTATGTTTCCCCAGTTAAGAATGAAAAGGAAGTGATTTACATCACTTCAAGTTCATTCATGAGCTTCTCAATGGGGAGTAGCACTCTATACAGAGGCTCCTCCCCATTCAGAAACTGGTTGATAATAAATTGACTGGCCAACCATCAAGTGCTGTGACATGGAAGGAAAATGGAGTGAGTCCTGGAAGTGCTGAGTATTTTCTTCACTTCTGGTACCTGAATAGAGCAGCAGGGGAGCGAAGCGAAGCCGAGTATGTCCATGAAAGTTTGCCTTGCATGGGCGAAGCACAGGCTCGCATTAAAGCTGAACTCTGGGATAAACAATTACTGTTTAAATACAAGTACATACAAGCCATGTGAATTCTTATATGCATCTTGGTGTAATTTGTGTATTTCTTCAAGATCTGTGTGTTTGTGATCCAGTGTAAAACTTTTCATGTAATTAAGACCAGTCACTAATTCTGTTTCTCCTTGTGCAGGATGACTGGTCTTGTCTCTGCTCCCTCCTCTAGTTTTCTGCAGACAGCCTGTAATAGGTGGGGCCGACTGGGCCCCTCCTGCGGCTTTTCTCACTGCACAAGGTAGTGCAGCACAGTGAGGACGTCATCAATAATTCTGCAAGGTTTGGGTTTGCAAAGGCAATTTGATACACACGAAGTAGATTTATATCCTTAGTGGCTATTGAGGAATATAATTAAATTAAAGTTTTAATGCTTGGAGTTCAGCTTTAAAGGGGTATCAATAAGTATTTAACAAAATGGAAGGGTGGAAAAGATAGGCACAGTCATTTGTAAAAAAAATTTTGAAGGTTGTAGAGAATATTTAAAGGATGATGTTGAGTCCTGGTTGTCATAATGATCCATCTATTTTACCGCAGTTACACTTATCAAGCCCCCCTCCAAGTCTTATTTCTGTGCAGCCTTCTTTGCACCAGACAACCCCATCAGAAACCTTCTCTGTTGGGCCTATGCATATGTAACACAATCTCCATTTTATCCTATAAAACATTTGTACTAGGAGCTGAGCAAGGTGCAATTTGTATGTGAACCTGAGCAGGGTGCACAGCTGAGATCTTGTTGGTTAGGGAACAAGTGAGTATTAGACTGGCATGGGTGCTGGGGATGGCAGAACATTAAAAAAAGGCCCAACTGCACTATACTTTAAGTCTCACTATATCTGTATCAGGAATTTGTAGTTTCACCACAGGCAAGATTCCTAGAGGCAGAGGCACAGTGGAATTTGTAGTATCACCACAGCTGGAGTGCCAAGGTTGCCTACCCCTGGTGTAGCCATTCATTGATAAATGATGTTTCCAAAAATGTAAAATAATGAAAATTTTTGGACATGTTGGTAATTAACGTTTACCACTGACAATGTGCAGTAACTCACATGAAATTTTTCCCCTTTCATTCGTTTAGAGTAGTTGGATAAATGATTGCTGTGTTTTGTGCATTGTTCTTTTCTTTATTAGGTAAATGTGTACAGTAAGTGACATTGCTGTTGTTGGTGTCCTGCAGGCCTCTACCACTCTGGAATATGGGCGGATAGTGATCTACACAACCAGTCTGCGCGTGGTTAGAAACACATTTGAGAGGTGTGAAATGGTGAGAAAGATCTTCCAGAATCACAGAGTAAAGTTTGAAGAGAAGAATATTGCTCTGAATGGTGATTATGGAAAAGAGCTGGATGACAGATGTCGCCAGGTAGCAGAACTGCCATCTCTTCCCGTCGTTTTCATTGATGGCCATTATCTCGGGGTGAGTTGCCATAACAGTATTATACTGATTGATGCTGTGCTTTTTGGCTTTTAAACTTTTTCACCAAACATAACATAGGACACACTAGCATATAAAAACACAGTATTAATGTTCAGCTTGCAAAAACAGATCTAAGTGTTTTAGTTCTTCATGAAAATTTTTTTTTCAATGGTTGAACTTTAAACACTATGTAGCCAGAAATACCCTTTAACCTCTTGCCGTCCGCCCGTAGTAAAAAAACGGACGGACGGCACTGCAGCATCTGCGGGTTGCCGTCTCCAGACGGCAACCTGCTTAAACGGAACTAGCTAAGACTCTAAAGTACTAAAACCATTGGATCAGTAAGACAACCAAGCAACTCAACTGTCATTTTCAGAAGGGGAGGTTCATAATGACAGCCTCCATAGATCGTCATTGCAGGTTTTCTTTCATATCTAAGCTTGCACAACTGTAGTAGGTAAAGCTAAACTTCAGCTATAGAAATGTATACATACTTACATAGGTACAGAATGGTAAATGTAAACACATATTAAGTATACATTTTGACACTATACACCAAGAAACTCACGCTGCTCACCCCTCGTTAGCCCTCAATCTGCTCTCTCAGCAGTGTGTACCACAGGTCCTAGGGTCAACGACCTTCCCGACCTCTCCCAGCCTACCCTGGCTATCCCACTTGTCCAGCACGCACCTGAGTCTGCTGTCCTCTGTTGTACCTCCTGCACAGGTACTCTCACAACTCTCACACACTCTCAGCACTGGGGTGGCTTCCTAATGAGGCTGCTCTCAGCCACCTGATCAGCCCAGGCTGGTCATTGGCAACACCTGGCCCCAGGACTGGAGATCTCATTCCACCCAGAGCTCTAAAGGTGGTCATACACTGTACAACCATCGCAAGACCTTAGTCTTGCGATGGTTGTAAAGTGATTAAAAAAACGTACGATCTGCCCATCCTGGGCAGGCAGATCACACTCTCGATCATCGCAAGCCCGCCCCCCTGTGAGGCGGGCTTCCGATGACCCCAAAGCTGAACGGGCAGTGTGCGCGTGCGCACACCGGCCCGTTCGGCATTTGTCTCCCGAGCACTGTTCAAACCAGCCGAAAATCGTACGATTCTCGGCTGGTTTTCTAACATGCTCCTTAGACAAAAGAAGTGCGACCGTACAGTAGAAACGGTCGCACGTCTTCGTTCACACTGTTCGATTCTTGTACGATCGCGGGATTTCCCGCGATTCTCGTACGAGAATCGAGCAGTGTATGGGCACCTTTAGAGATCTCCAGAGCTCCAGATCCCAGCTACAATTAGGAACACCTGGAAGAACCTGAAAAGCCAGGCTCTTCCTTATAATATGGTTCACATTCTGGACCCTCTCAGCCCCTTTGGCTGAGAGTCCTGGGTGCCCAAGTTGCCATACTAAATCGTGGCATTGCCATGCACTGGCAATATATATGCAATATATATATTACATATTAGGATCCCAAAGACCCTGTCATGGGGATATACTATATATTAACTATACATCCTGTAAAACATTGTAGTAGCTCCAGCTACTACAGTGTCTTACAATGACCTTCCAGGCCTTTCGTCCAAGCAGAAAGCACCTATTATTCATTCATAAAAATACAAGCTATTAGTTGAATGGCCATTGTGCTGATTGAGTGGCCCACTGTGCTTTAAAAGCAGAGGGGAAGTTTCTCGGCTCAGCGGCTGTTCCTGGACCCAGAAGACCTCAGTAAGTTACTGTAGTAGCTGCGGCTACTTCAGTGTTTTACAGGATCCCCAGGGATAATTTATATACAGTATACTTTCAGTGTGCCTAACTGGACCATTGTAATTGTATATAGATTTCTATATCTGGAGTTCAACTTTAAAGATGTGTTTGTTCCCTTATAATATTTAGTTATTTATTCTGACTAGCTTGGGAGTCAGGTATCTTGTCTGACCAGACACTTGCAATACTGTTAATTAACCTACTACTATGCCAACACAACTGTAGAGCTCTGTTGCTTGATATTAATAAGAAGCTGAAAGACAGTGTGGTCAAACTCTTGACAAGGTAGTAACTACCAGCTCTAACCACAACTCTGAAGCCAAAGAGTCAAAGAGAAAAAGTTTGTGTTTATATGCTTCATAGCAACACACAACTTGTCTCAGGATAAGCTATCTCATAATTTGTTGTGTGTATTGCTATGCACAGAGTCCCTTTAACATCCCTTTGTGCTTTTCTGTTATTATAAGTCAATGGTAAACGCATATCAAACTCATGGTGAGTGTATCAAATGAATGGAAAGGACAATGCATCACAATCCTACTGTATATAAAATGACTGTGCATGCTAACCCTTATTAAAGAGGCAGCAACCTGCCCTTTGTTTCACCATCTGTTTCTTAACACTTTTTATGCATGTCTTTAAGTATGACAAAAAAATAGAAAATCAACATTTCAACACATGTTTACCAACTGAAAACCAGTTAAGACAGGGGTGGCAAACACAAGGCCCGCGGGCCTAATCCGGCCCGCCAGACCTTGTAATGTGGCCCGCACAGCCAGGGCCGGCCTTAGGGGTGTACGGGCTGTACAAAAAAAAACTCTTTAATAATCGCCCGCGGGCGCGGCGGCCCTCCGTGCGGGCGCTTGACAGTTTACCTGTCAGCTCAGCCAGGCAGCACAGCAGTGACAGTGTCACTGGCAGTCTATGAATGACTCATTAAGATGGCCACCGCGACAGCGCGGCGGCCATCTTTAAATCTGGACAATGTACTGGCAGCCTGGCAAGCCACAGGCGGATTCTGCCGGAAAGACACGTGGGAGGCTGTCCTTGCCTTGCTATGAGGAGCAGGGATGAGGAGCAGGAGCTCAGAACTTTGTTCTGTAAGTAAATTCTTTTTTTTTTATAAATGCAGTGTACTGCTTAATGTCTGTTTTGTATTTTATTATTTAAATAGAGTGTTTCTTAACCACTTCAAGACCAGGTGTTTAGACCCCCTTCCTGGCCAGGCCATTTTTCAGTGTTCAGCGCTGCGGTACTTTGACTGACGTTTATTCCGTCATGCAACGCTGTACTGAAATGAATTTTATACCATTTTTTGGGGACAGATAGAGCTTTCTTTTGATGGTATTTAATCACCACGGGGGTTTTTATTTTTTACTATAATTAGGGAAGATTACAGAAAATGTTGAGAAAAAAAAAGGTTTTTTTAACATTATGTTAGGAAACATTTATTATTACCCAGTTTTTTGGTAAAATATAAAAGATCGGGTCACGTCGGGTAAATAGACACCAAACATGTCAAGCTTTAAAATTGCGCGCACCCGCGAAATCGCAGAAAACTACCATACCCAAAATTGGCCATAGGCGACACTTTAAAAGCTTTTACCGCTCATCAGTTTAGTGTTATCGGTGATTGATGGCCCTAGACTTATTGCTCTCACTGCGACGTTCGCGGCGATATGTAACATGTGCGGCGTAATGGGCGCAATCGTATTTTTTGCACGTATGCGCCCCCATACAACCGGCCCTTTGAGGGTAACCATACTGCTGATGCGGCCCCCGATGAATTTGAGTTTGCCACCCCTGAGTTAAGATAATGAAATACAAATGGTTTATTTACCCACTCAAATGGAAATGGTGTGCTGTTCATATAGATCTGAAAGTCAGAGATATACCAGTATGAATATGTTTGCAATTGTTGCTGAATTTCACAATGTCATCTGGATCTGGTGTAATATGAAAGAAAGCAGCCTTAGCTAGCAAATCATGAGACTGCTACAGATATATTTTCAAATGATATTATATTTTAGATTGACGAAGTAAATCAAACACTGTAGATCATTTAAGTATATTATTATGAGTTGGATTGAGTAGCTTCTGCTGTCTATCCCTGGTCCTGCACAGATAAACAGCACCACCTACCTTTAAAACAAGATCAGTGTATGAGATACATCACAGCTGAAATACTCAACATAATGGACATGAAATAGGATTACATGTGTGCTTTATGTCTGTATATTATTAGCTGCCTTAGAATGTTTGATTACAGTATAGACAATCATGCAATTTACTTCTCAACAATGAGGTCAATGACTATATTTCTGTGTTTGCAGATGACCCAAAGCTATGTAGTGGATTAAAGTGCCTACAAAATGTGTCTTGACTTATAAGTGAACTTAATGCACTTTTTGATTGAGCAAATTAATAT